GGGCATATCTTGTGACAAGGGGATGGGAAAAGATGGTAACTGAGTATTCACATCCTAAGGGGAAACAATTTTCCCCTTAAAAAACACACATACTCAAGTGTATTTATAAACCATTTGCAGAGCCATTCATCCTGTAAAATTGCATGTCGTTTGTTCTGTGTGAATGGCGGCAAAAAGGAATGTTATTAGCATATTTCCTTTCCAGGCTAAATGTAATATCAGGAAAATACTGAATCATGGCCACTAGATGGAGCTGAGGAGCGTAGGAAATAAATACTTATCATTGATGCCTAGATGCCCAGGCCAAATTTAGCAGTGTCAGCATGTGTTGGTTTACTTAACAATAACTTTATGACTAATTTGAATAGCTAAATACATTTTATACATGCTTTTAAGGACATATAGTTTTGTAATTGTTATACTGTTTTAATAAAATAAATCCCTTCTCTTTTTTTATTTTAGGCTGACAAATGTGCAAAAGTGTAAAAAACAACGTTTTAAATTTTTAAATTTATGTTTTTTTTAATAGTACAACTGTATCTGACAGTTGAACTAATAATAGATAGCACTGCACAATAACACTGTAGCCTGATGGCGGCAGTCTTCACCTTCAGGCTGAAGGCATTATTTTTGTTTTATCTACAGCATGCATGTGATGTCTGTCACAGCTACAAAACATTCTGATTGATTCCTGATCATCAGATGGGACTCTGGCTATGACTGTCTCCGCCCAGTGGCTAGTTGCGAGGCTTTCGGCCGGCCAGTGGCCGGCCGTTCGCCCTGCTTCGGATGTCACTTCGGCTCAGTCGAGCCGAAGCGTATGCCTTTTCGGCTTGGCTGAGCCGCTCGGCCAGCTTCGGGAGCTGTACAGGCTATAGTGAATAGCCCGTACAGCAGCCCTTCGGTTCTACTAAACCGAAGGGCTCCTGCGGCCGAAGCTAGCCGAAGGATCAGCCGGAGCTAAGGCTGATCCTTTCGGCTAGCTTTGTAAATAACCGTTATAGTCATTACAATACTAGGGACCAGTGCTGTGGACAGAAGATGCCAGAGAAGAGCAAACTATTTAGCAGCTCACCAGCTCTTTTTAGCATCAAATGATCTTTGCCAAGGGTATAAACTCATAGGGACTTCATGAAAATTCTAAGCCCTCCCACAGCTTTTACCACCCCAGCCAGCAAATGGTGAATATTGTGGTTTAGTAGTAAAAAATTTATTATTTGAATGATATAATATGACATATCTTTTAGTGCTCGTATGCACAATGACTTCATTAAACTTAATACAAAACCTTTTTTTACTGTGGCTTTCTTTTCAGATTTACAAACCTCAAATATGTTATGACTTTTTAGACAAGAAGACACTCTGAGAGTTGATAGTCCTGACATCACCAATGGGTAGCACATTATAGTCAGTCAATGTAATGGTGCAGAAGGTTGTTAGAGACTGCAGACATGCTACTGGTGATGATCATAGACTTTGCCCATGCTATGGGAGAAGGTCAAAGACTGGAGACATACTGCAGAGCATGGTTAAAGACATGCTTCAGGAGACAGTCATAGTAGAGAGACACATTACATGAGACTGCTAGAGATCACTGCTACTTTGTGCTCAATACAATTACATACTCCGCTTAAAAATGTCTTGCACCAGATTTGATATCCCGCTTATCCATTATAACAGATCAGAGGAAAAATAAAGTAAAAATGGAAAAAGGATGGGTAGCAAAGTAAAATGTAAGATAGTGTAAGTAAAATAAACCAAACCATTTAACTACTGGAAGCCAGTCAAAATAACGCTTTTCCTTCACTGGCATGAGTAAACACCAAGGAAAGGAAAGCACAAGCCACAGATTGGCCACCAGGGAGGTATGGAATAGTTCAGTGCCCTGGTGACCAATCTTTGGCTCAGGGGGCTGTATTCAACCTTAACAACGATGTTCAACTTCCAGAACAATCCATTTAGGCAATAGACACACCCTTGTCACACTCTCAGTTATGCGGACCATTAAGAAATGATATGCCAAAAATAACTGGGTAAACCCAAAACAGATTTTGTTCACCATTACCTTTTCTTGATAATGGATTTTCCAAATAGCAAAGAAGACAATTAAAAGCTATGATGAAGGGTTTAGTACAGAAATACACTTTGGGTATTTTAATAGTACAATTTCATAGATATATGTACGTCAGACCAAAAAGAGGGATAACTGAGGAGGAAAGAGGGACAGGGGCATTTGGTTACAAAAAAGGAACAGTCCCTCCAAATGAGGGACAGTTGAGAGCTATGCTATTCTTTACTATATACTACACTGGTCAGATTATGCTACTTAGATTGAATGAATACATTGAATGTTGTTTCCAATTATGGGTTATTGTACCTTTTTGTTTGCAAGTTTGTATAGTAAAGAAAATACATTTTGCATCGAACACTTCTTAGTTTTCCTTCAGCAAAGTTCACAGAATGTATCTGAGCTGCAAAGATGGTGGCAAACTTTGCAGATAAACCTAGTCGACAATGCTATGCAAGATCAAAGTATATTTATTCAATTACCAAGATTTTTCAGGTTATACTTTTCCACACTATACTTTAAATTCATGGGATTTATTTTATTTATGCTGCTCCTACTGTAATCCTCTTCCTTCTATTTTCATGTTTCCTTTTCATAAAATAAGTTGGTTTAAATCTAATACTTCTCATAGTATTATACACCTCACCTGCCACCAATTCCTTTTAAAGTGTTTTCTGCAAATCTGGATGTAAAACCATTAATAACTACAGCAAATGCAAAAGAATAACTACTTATGTGTGCGCATAGGTGAACATGTGTGCTTCAAATTTTATACCAATCAGATAACAAAGGGCATCATGCAAATAGCTGTGTGTGTCCCCATGGCAACTAGTCAGTTCTCCCTTTTTTAGAGCTACATTAGAAGCATGAATGTTGCTATAGATTGCATTCTTCCATCACACATCAGAATGTAGTGGCCAGAGTTCAGTCATCTGCCATCTTGAAACAGAATTTTCTATCATGGCCTGGTCCATTTTCAAACAAAGCCTGCCCATACAGCAGTACATGTGTGACCTGGTATTTTTACCTCCTGTTCTCCAGAAATATTGCAGACACACATATGTAAAGCTGTGAGAACCTGCATGTCTGTATGCTGGCAGGAGCTTGTGTTTTGTTCAGTACTTGCATACTTGGTGGCTATAGTGAGTTCAGAACATTCCGGAGAATTGTAGAATTGCTGGCAACTATGTAAAGGTGTCCAATAATTAGAATATCGTGCAAAGTTCATTTATTTCACTAATGCAACGTAAAAGGTGAAACTAATATATGAGATAGACTCGTTACATGCCAAGCAAGATAGTTCAAGCCGTGATTTGTCATAATTGTGATGATTATGGCTTACAGCTCATGAAAACCCCAAGAACCCCAAATCCACAACCTCAAAAAAGTAGATTATTACATGCAACAATAAAACAAGGATTGTACATAGAACAATATCGGACCTCTGAAAAGTACAAGCATGCATATGTACTCAGTACTTGGTTTGGGCCCCTTTTGCAGCACTTACTGCCATTACTTTTGCACGATATTCTAATTATTCGAGTTTCACCTGTAAGTGTTTAGGTGGTTGAGCTTCAACCTTTACAATTGTATCTACATGCTCTGATCATTGGGTTTTTCTATTATTTTGCAAATTTTATTTTACAATATTCTTTGAGTGCATTTTCATGTCTATTACATCAGGGGCGTCCCAAGGCCGGGTGTCACCCGGAGCAGATACCGGGTGACACCCCACCGTGATGTCATTGCGCATGCACGGCTATCTTATTGATATCTGCCGCCGGCAGAGAAAGAAGGGGACGTTCACCCGACACAATAAGGTATCCCTTTCTCTCTCCTAAAACTTCAGGGCTCTCGGGACCATGACAGAATGCCCGAGTTTTCGGAGGGGGTGACACCTCTTTCAGTGACACCCCCTCCGAAAAGTTGGGCATTCTGTCATGGGGGCATTCCCAGTGACTGTCAGTGATTATGATGTCACCCCTCCAATGGTGTCACCTAAGGGGGCATTTACAGTGACTGTCAGTGATTTTGATGTCACCCCTCCAATGGTGTCACCAGGGTGCGGGTCGCACCCCCCTTGTGACGCCACTGTATTGCATCATGGTGACCCTTCTTCAAATCTGCAATGTTGGCTTTCTTCAATAGATCATGATCAGAAGTATGTCTAATCCCAAAGCCTATTTTTTTTATTTAGTCAGTTGTCCCTATTGAAAGATTCTTCCTCTATTCCTGTTCTAGTGACATCTCCAAATTTTGGATGTTCTCTCACTTTTAGTCCAGGTGACAAAAGTCACTTGAAGAAATAGAGAGGGTGAACACAGAAACACAGACAGCAATAACAACCCTCCCTTACTCTATCCAACATGAAAACAGCAGCTTTGGCTCTAGATACAATTTAATTAGTAGAGCAGTGTAACTGTATAATGATGTGTTATAAAGGATGGCCCACTGCAACCTATTTCTGTAGAAATAAACTCAATAAGCTGAAATCTGATTGGTAGCTGTGGATAACTGTACTCGGGATCTTATTTTACTACCTAATGGAAAACAGTGGAGAGTTTAATTACACAGTGGTGTTGATTAACTAAAGCAAATAGGTTGTTCTCTTTGGAAGGGGATGTGCACTTTGCATGGGAATTACCCCCTTAGCTTGGTGAATGTGGTGAAATGTCACTTTGCAAAGTACACCCAATCAATGTGCAAAGAAAATAAAAAGCAGTATTTTTGCTTGGATGATGGAAGTCAGCATAGCTTTCACTCATTAATAAACTAAGGGGAAACTTCTGCAAAGTGCAAATTCCCTTGCAAAATGAACAGCCTATTTACCTTTAGTACATCAAACCTAGTATATTTATGTCTTAACTCTAAACCTTTGTGTGGTTGTACAAAATGCTGTTTGTGCTCACTGACATTCATTGAATCTTCATAGGTTTGCCAGTCATGGAAGTAAGGATTGAGATCTCAAGGCAGCAGGTGGAGAAGATATTTGGCCTGGAGGAATACTGGTGTCATTGTGTGGCCTGGAGCTCCTCTGGTACCTCAAAAAGTCAGAAGGCATTTATCCGCATTGCATGTAAGAATTACCACCTTTAAAATCATTCTGTCGGACTTCATGTAACAGTATACTGTCCTGGTTACAATGAATGCACTATTATAGCTGTATTGTTTTCTCAATATTCACCATTTTACATGTGTACATCATCTAGGTCCTACTCCCCCAGGAGGAGTAGGACCTAGATGATGTGCACATGTAAAATCATGTGAAAATGTGTACATGTGTACATGATCTAGGTCCTACTCCCCCAAGAGGAGTAGGACCTAGATCATGTACACATGTAAAATCATGTGAAAAATCATGTAAGCTGAATGTGGCTTCTAAAGACCGGTTTGGAGGAGTCCTCCAAACCAGTCTTTAGAAGCCACATTCAGCCTAATGATATTTTCATCCTTTATTATACTGGCATATGTGACTCTTCGGGGGTGATTTACTGACCTAGAAACACGCACACACCAGGTGCGTGTGATTTTCACACAGCAAAACGTATTTATCAACCAAAAAGTCTCTAAAAGCATATTTCCACTAATGCCATATATGGAAAAATCATGCACATGATGCATATATAATGCTGCTTCACAGTTTAGACAAAAATGGTTAGCTCATGCATTTACATTCCTGCATTCATCAACGCAAGCAACACAACATAGAGCTAATTTACACAACATCACCTTGCAATTCATGCTTGGCTTTGCACAACACACCTGCTAGGTGTGTACACACTACAAAGGTGTTTAGATTCCACCCATAGATCATGCTGGGAGGGAACACACTACAGAGGTGTATACATGTTCGTGGTGTGTTTATAAGGTTAGTAAATCAACCCCTTCATGTTCCCCCGACATGATTTAGCTGTGTTTTTCTGATGTCACTGTCGGATTTTGCTGGTTACACTGGGTGATTTCTATAAATAGGAAAAATGCTTGGTATGTATTCCTGAAGCTTTCTGGCTCCAAATGCTTTCTGACACTGCGTGTGCAAAGATTGCTTTTACCCTAATGGGTTAATACACATGAGCTCTAAGCAAAATGTGTGCTACACTTTGTGCTTTGCCACATTAAAATAAAGCATGTTTTAAGGGCTTTACACTGTGATTGTCATGTTTGTGTTATGGTTATATTATAGCTACTTCGAAATAATATTAAGGTAATAATAATAAGGTTTCTGAGGCATATAGCCAGTTTAAAGAATAATGCAATGACAGCCTAATCCTCAAATAGACATAACTTTCCATAGTATCAGCTATTGTCCCTCTCACAAACCTGGTTCTGCTGGGACCACTCCATCTCTGAGCCCTATAGCAGCTGCCTGAGCTGCTGGTACTGTAATTAAACCATTCAGCGCTCAGACATATGAGTCAAGCCACATGATGCTCTGGCATGAAGAGGAATCAGATATTTGCTCAAGATCTAAATACAGTGTTTGTTGTGTTTTACATTTCCGATAGAATAATCACCACTTTAACAAAAATGTACTCGAGCAAAAAAAATTTTGCAACACGCAAAAAGGTTTCAGCGAATATACTAATTTGTGTCACTTCCCGTTTTGTGCTATAAGGTGCTTTTTATGTATTCACATGAACTAGATGTTACCTATCTATATTTGTTCTGTGTGGAAATTAAAATGTAAATCACTGTATACCATATAAATAATGTATATGCATTAGTAGGAGATGATGCTGATGAAAAGGTAACAATCTGCACAATGATAAATTATAGTGCTGTGCACACAAGATTAATAACTAGTCTTACAGGTACTGTGTGCATAAAAAGCTACTGCATTGTATTGCGCACTTTGCAATGTTTTTGTGGAAACATCTTACCCATGTGAAGAAAGAGACAGCATAGCTTCTGGGTTAATTATTCTACCTTTGCTCATGTCCATGCCCTTTTAATCCTTCTGTGGTATACACTGTTGTTAGCAGGTTTTGAAGCACTGATCACAATCTTTGGATCTCAAACCCGCTTTCATGCAGGTTTTCCTCACAGAACATTGAATGGATCAATATTTCCTTACATCCATTCTCTGACAATCCTCCAAAAAGCTCAACTGCTGTCTTATTAAGGCAAGCCTGAAAATCACAGACATAACAGCCATAGTTCACATACTAAAGTGTTTACTGCCAGCAATTCTGTGCTAAATGTTATCAACGTATTGCAAAAAAACTGCTAAGGTGTCAAAGTTGTTGTAGTGTCATGTGCAAGGAAAGGGATTAGCATGTTTATTGGTGAATACTACAAAAGGGTCACACATTTGGAAGTTATATGCAAATCAGCTATGTTCACTGTTGGTGAATATACTAATGCATGCTATAAACATACTATGTTCAATGTTGGTGAATATACCAATGCACGCTATAAATATACTATCTTCCCTGTTGGTGAATATACTAGTGCATGCAATAAATATACTATGTTCACTGTTGGTGAATATACTAATGCATGCTATAAACATACTGTGTTCATTTGAACCAAACTAACTTGCGCTAATGGAAATGGTAATAATATGTAAAATGTAAAAACTGGATTAAAATTAATATTAATACGACCCCGGAGCTAAAATTGCATAATAGTTCTAAAACCAAAGGGAAAGAAACAAGCTGCTGAACTCAGGCTAAAAGCCCCCAGAATAATGATGCAACGAAGTGTACAGCGCTAAATGCCCTTCAGGAAATTCGGTAACGGTAAGGATCAGAATGATATCACCTCCGTGTCAAGCAATCATAAAAAAGTGTATATATAATGTAAAATATTATAAATTATTTGTGTATAAACTCATAATGTGTTTAAAATTGTATCAACAGGTGTCATAAAAAGCGTATCATAAATACACCTTATTACAAAGAAAATAAATAAAAAGTCTCCAAAAAACATGTGTCATATATGTGAAAAATAAAATTATCACATTATAAAACAGTCTGTGTTGTTTTCATTCGAAAATTAATAAAAATATGCACTTATATTTTTTTTTAAATGCACTTATAGTTTTTTAAAGTTTTAAAGCTCTCAGATCTTCAAGACAAGAAGCCAAAAAACCTTTTTTGAAAAATGAAAAATAAAAAAAAATGTTCAATATAGTGATGTGTCCAACGATAAAAAATTTGACAGAAGAAAAAAACAGGCAGGTCCCCTATAGGGAATGCACTCACCAGATCCTTGATGATCGAAAGCCTTTATTCTTATCCAGTGGAGACCCAAGATGTATATCCTCTTCCCCCGTTTGGTGAAAGCCTCAGGCTACAGAACCCGCTTGCTTCTCCGAGATGAAAGGATTACAATCTTTACTGTTAGGTCTCCTCTATTGGGTATCCATCCGGACAAAGAACACGAGAGATGCGCTCATAGTGTAATAAGTTCAACTTTAATAGGTCCAAATAATAAATACAAACAAGCGCTACATAAATTCCATAAAAGTCAACATGGAAAGCCGGCTAGTCACTCAATCTGAGTGCAGAAAAGACTGGAACAATGACGTAAAGGTAGGCCCTACCTTTTTTAGGCCCTACCTTTACGTCATTGTTCCAGTCTTTTCTGCACTCAGATTGAGTGACTAGCCGGCTTTCCACGTTGACTTTTATGGAATTTATGTAGCGCTTATTTGTATTTATTATTTGGACCTATTAAAGTTGAACTTATTACGCTATGAGCGCATCTCTCGTGTTCTTTGTCCGGATGGATACCCAATAGAGGAGACCTAACAGTAAAGATTGTAATCCTTTCATCTCGGAGAAGCAAGCGGGTTCTGTAGCCTGAGGCTTTCACCAAACGGGGGAAGAGGATATACATCTTCGGTCTCCACTGGATAAGAATAAAGGCTTTCGATCATCAAGGATCGGGTGAGTGCATTCCCTATAGGGGACCTGCCTGTTTTTTTCTTCTTTCAAATTTTTTTTTCGTTGGACACATCACAATATTGAACAATTTTTTTATTTATTTTTTTATTTTTCATTTTTCAAAAAAGTTTTTTTGGCTTCTTGTCTTGAAGATCTGAGAGCTTTAAAACTTTAAAAAACTATAAGTGCATTTAAAAAAAAATATAAGTGCATATTTCTATTAATTTTCGAATGAAAACAACACAGACTGTTTTATAATGTGATAATTTTATTTTTCACATATATGACACATGTTTTTTTGGAGACTTTTTATTTATTTTCTTTGTAATAAGGTGTATTTATGATACGCTTTTTATGACACCTGTTGATACAATTTTAAACACATTATGAGTTTATACACAAATAGTTTATAATATTTTACATTATATATACACTTTTTTATGATTGCTTGACACCGAATTTCCTGAAGGGCATTTAGCGCTGTACACTTCGTTGCAACAATACTATGTTCATTGTTGGTAAATATATCAATGCACACTATAAACACACTTTGTTCACTGTTGAGAGCTTACTTTAGCAATGAGTGATTACTCCTGCTCTACCCTTAGACAAGTTCAGAGTCTTTTATGCCAACCTGTTTATGGTGCCTAGGAAGGGTGGGGTTTAACGGATTTTAGACATGTAGGCAGTCAACGCCTTTATAAAGGTCCAAAAATTCAAGATAGAGTCTACAGGTGAAACTCGAATAATTAGAATATCGTGCAAAAGTTCATTTATTTCAACGCAGCCGTCAACGCAGCCGTCTACCAGGAGATTTTAGAGCACTTCATGCTTCCTTCCGCAGACGAGCTCTGTGGGGATGCTGACTTCATTTTCCAGCAGGAATTGGCACCTGCCCACACTGCCAAAAGCCCCAAAACCTGGTTCAATGACCGTGGATTACTGTGCTTGATTGGCCAGCAAACTCGCCTGACCTGAACCCCATAGAGAATCTATGGGGCATTGCCAAGAGAAAGGTGAGAGACATGAGACCGAACAATGCAGAAGAGCTGAAGGCTGCTATTGAAGCATCCTGGTCTTCCATAACACCTCAGCAGTGTCACAGGCTGATAGCTTCCATGCCACGCCGCATTGAGGCAGTAATTTCTGCAAAAGGGGCCCAAACCAAGTACTGAGTACATATGCA